ACTTTTGGGGGGTTTTCCACTGGGTACAGTACCTGGTACTTTTTTTAGTACCACCTCGGTTGAGGTTCCAAGTGAACCGTATCGTTACCAAAACGTGATGTGTAAACTCTGCTGATCACGGATTGGCCGCAGAGAATTGTCACTACCTGCGTCACTGAACTTGCGCCACAAACACAACAGAACCACTAGATTTAAATCAGCACAGCCAGCGAAGGATCGAATGCAACTGTTTTGAACGAGCACACCTTTTTTAACAACCAAAATGTGGCTGGTTCGTTGTCTGTTGAGGAAGTACAGACGGTCCTCTCGTTGATAGCAGAGGAGCGGATCCAGCGAGAGCTTGATGGGGGGACGCGGAATGAAAAGGGTTTTCAGGAGTCGCGCGGCAGTAGAGGCGGCGCAACTATAACGACAAGTGAATAATCCCGCCCACTCTAAAGCGGTACTGAACTGCAGTGGAACCGCAAACCGAGCCGTGCTGTGTCGTACCGTACTGAGCCGTGCCGAGCCGAGTCGTACCACGCAGTGGAAAAGCGCCATATGGTAGTTAGTTCCATTGAAATCTTGGTAATGACGGAACTTGCGACCATAGTTACGTTTGGGAAACGGACCCCTGGTTGTTTCTGCACCCCTCCTCTCTCCCACACCCACTCCTGTCGGGAACCTGGTGCAGGGCGGCGATTAAGGCTATGTCCACACATACACGGGTATTTTTCCTTCTTCCGTTTAAAAAAAAAATATCTGTCCACTAGGTATGGGCCGGTATGAGATTTTGACGGTATGATAACCTTAAGCAAAAATATCACAGTTTCACGGTATTGTTGTTACAGCTCTAAAATGTGTCTCTGAGACCGCTCTAAAAAACAGAACACAATATATTTTGAGCAACATACAGAATATTTGGAACAGTAGTATTTGTTAATTTTTACTTTGATTTGTTTCTGAAATGTGGGCTGTCCTGCAGCTTTTGATGGGGATGGTTGATTTGCTGCTAGAGCTACTGCTGCCCTAAAAAGAAGAAAAAGAAAGACTGACATCTTTATTTAACCTAAATCTGTAATTACAGTTATTTAATTTTAGTTATATAATTCATATACATGTTGACATCTCTGTATATGTCCCTGGATGCTTTGAGTCACTGATGAATTGTTAATTGTAATTTGTGTTCTTTCTCTCTCAGTGGCTGGACCTGCACTTAAAAGAGAATGTGCCACCGTCCTTGTTGCTGCTTTCTCGTGCAATGTATCTGACGGACCTCGCTCCTAAAACTCCAGTCATCCCACCGGTGCCCAAACTGGAGGTGATAATTCAATTCTATTCTAGTTTGTCTAAATACATTTATAATAAAATACTACAGATCAAAATCAGTCCTCTAAATGTTACAAGTGAATTTGGCATCACAACATTATAATGTACAGTATTAAAAATGGATGCTCGTTTTGAGTTTTACTAAAGATTGCATTTAACAGTGTTGGTAAATCATTAGTTTGTTAAAGATTAACTTTAAGTGAGTAAATATGTTGAATGATAATAGAAAACTAAACTCTATGATACTCCAGTTACCAATGTATCATATATATCGCCACTTCTATCCCCTCAGACTATCCAAAATATACCAAATACATCCAGCTTATCTGTTTCACATAATGTAAAATTGTTTTCAAACACCACAATTATGTATGTAAAAAAATTCAATATGTATTCTGTAAATATCCAAAGAGCATGCATACATAATACATTTCTGTAACAGGTTGTAAATATTGATGTATTTAATAGGCACATAGACTTTACATTCTGCTTGAAAACTTGCCTCAGTGCTCGGCAACAGATTACCTTTGACCTTTGAAACCTTAACCAATTGATGTCTAGACCTTAATCAGGCAGCAATGCAGACTGGCACGTCACTGCCTAAGTGACAGCTGATAGGTTATCACTGTTCTGTTAATGGTTGTTATGGTTTCATTTATAATGACCTTCTTTATGTCTGTGTCACAGAAAGCCACTCCTCCTCCTGTGGAGGCCGAAACCGCAGCTAAAGGGAATCCGCTGTCCTCTTCAGTGGAGGTGCTGGTGGATTCTGCTCCGGTCATCAAAGACCGAAAGGTAGGAATGTTATTACAATATCACCAATCAATCAATATCTCCGTCTTCAAGGGCACTCCAGGTTATCAGTCATTGTATAACAAGAAATGGTTACAAAGAGTTTTAATTCAAGATATTGTTAACTCTTTGATTATGTATTTTAGTCTGAAGAATTGTTGGAGAAACCCAGAGGGCTGGACATGCCATCACCCGAAGCTCAGTTAATACATGTAAGTGTGTCACACAAGATATTGTATTGGTCACTCAATGTGTGTGTATCTATTGAAAGGCGAAGAGTCAACAATATGTGGTTTTGATAAGATTACTTTGATTATTGCACATATTTGCTTTTTATGTTTTTGGCAATGGTTTTATTCAGAAACTTCATTCACCTGAAAAATCTCTATCAAATATTAAAATGAAATATTTTGAACAGTAGTTTTCGTATTATTAAAAAAATAATAATAGAATATAATTATATATTGTATTTTCTTTAAATCTTTCAATAAAATATTAAAATGAAAGATTTTTTTATAGTAGTTGTAATATTTTAAAAGGTTTCATTTTATATTGCGTTTTTAGCTTTTATTTTTAGCACGAGTTTAGAATGCCCATCAAATATATGTGACCCTGGACCACAAAAAAGTCATAAAGGTCATTTTTTTCGAAATTGAAGCTGAATAAATAAGCTTTCCATTGATGTATGGTTTGTTAGGATAGGACAATATTTGGCTGTAATCAATAATTTTGACCCATACAATGTATTTTTGGCTATTGCTACAAATATACCCCAGTGACTTAAGACTGGTTTTGTGCTCCAGGGTCACATATTAAAATGTAAGATTTTATATAGTTATGTTTTAGGCATTTTAATGCTATATATATTATGTTCTCTCTTTTTTGTAACATGAATATATGTTATTAAAGGAACACTCCACTATTTTTGAAAATAGGCTCATTTTCCAACTGGAGTCAAACAGTTTAGTTTTACCGTTTTCGAATCCATTCAGCCGATCTCCGGGTCTGGCGGTAGCACTTTTAGCTGCAGTTTAGCATAGATCAGGGCTGTCCAAACTCGGTCCTGGAGGGCCGGTGTCCTGCAGAGTTTAGCTCCAACCTTAATTAAACACACCTGAACCAGCTAATCAAGCTCTTACTAGGCATAGAAACTTCCAGTTAGGTGTGTTGAGGCAAGGTGGAGCTAAACTCTGCAGGACACCAGCCCTCCAGGGCCGAGTTTGGACAGGCCTGGCATAGATCATTGAATCTGATTAGACCGTTAGTACTATGAGTGCAGCAGGCACAATGATATTACGCAGCGCCTGAAAATAGTCCCCAGCAAGCAGGTGGTTACGTTGGTTATGTTGATGGAAGTTAGCCTATTTTCAGGCGCTGCGTAATATAATTACACCTGATGCACCCATGGTACGGCAGCAAAGTTCCTTGATTATTACTCCGGAATGAGAGTATAGTTCCGAGCCATATCGGCCTAGAAAATCGCAACTTTTCTTTTTCCGTCTGTCTTAGTACACGATGTAACTACAGAAAAGTCAAGTTTTAAATAGGAAAAATATCGAAACCCTTTGGTCATTTTTGAGCGAGATGCTAACGGTCTAATCCGATTCAATGATCTATGCTAAGCTACAGCTAAAAGTGCTACCGCCAGACCCGAAATTGGCTGAATGGATTCGAAAACTGTAAAACTCAACCTGTTTTTAAAAATAGTGGAGTGTCCCTTTAAATATATAAATAAATGTGTGTCAGGGCATATGTAAATGTCTATTTAACTATAACTGTTGTATATTTTGTGTGTATATCTTCTACATTGATGTAGAAACTGCTACTATTGTCTAGAAACTGCTGGATTTGAACAAACTCCCCTCCACCTGTTCTTTCTCATCAGGCTAAAGAGGCAGAGCTGTCACAGAAGTCCAAGATGAGCGCCAATGGGATGTGAGAGGCACTCCATGTTTCCTCATTCTGTTGCAGATGAGGGTGGAGGTTCGAGTTTGGCTGCTTCTGCTGAGGATGCGTCTCTCTCACAGTCCAGGATTTCCGAGGCCTTGCCATCTCACACCTCTCAAACGGACCAGATGGACTAGCCGCATCACATCCTCCATCGACATCTGGTCCTCAAAAAGGAGGAACATTGTTTATGTTAGAATTTAGACATCACTCCAGCTTGACATCCGACATGTTTACATCTCCCATCCCCCTGAAGATTTGACGAATAATGTAAATTTGCAATGAAAAAAACATCGAAAACCAGGAAATGAAAAAATGAACTCATTAAAAATCATTAAAAAAAGCTTCAAAGATCAAAATGATTGAGGTGGAATGTATTTTCTCATGAATCTGATCATCTACATTTTTTGGAAGTAGATGAAATATAAATCCCTTTTAAGCTGTAAATTGGTTATTTTACCCAGGACTTTTCAAATTGAGTTGCTAGGGTGCCCGTGGACAATTTAAAATGAATATGTAAAAGATTCATTTAAATTTTATAAAATGCATTTTAGGGCTGTCGGTGTTAACTTACAACACCACTAATGTTAAATTAACCTATTAAGCATTTTTAATACATATTTATTAAGCACAATTACCACAACTATTGTATTTGATGCTATTTAATTCAGTCCTAACTTTAAAAAGACATTTAAAACAAATCTGCATATTGGATATTAATTGAGATGGTAAAAATGTGAGATGGGAGGAAACATTTTTGCCTTTCCCATGAAACTTTACATTCGGTCTCAAAACTTTTACGTTCCCCAAAGAAACTTTGCATTCGCTTTCAAAACTGCATTTGCTCAGAACACTTTTGCATTCAAGAAACTTTACGTCACTCGCAAAACTTTTGTTTTCCCTCGAGAAACCTTGCATTCACTCATAAAACTTTTGCCCTGCCCTGAGAAACTTTTGAAAGAGAACACAACATTTGCATTCGGTCGCATGGTTTCTTACTAAGTTCGCAGGGAACGGATATCTTTTGGAATAGAATGCAACAGGAATGGAATAGAATTTTTCTTTCCATCACTGTCCCTTTACAGGCTCTGTAGCATTTCGTTTTTGGAAAAAAAAAAAGCTAAATAATTACACTTAATATTTTCAATAAATGTGTCCTATATAATTGCCTTTTATATTTTAAGAGGGAGTTCCTTGCAAAGGAGACATGATATTCTGGGTTCCTTGGAATCATAAAGTTCGAGAATCCCTTGTTTTACTTCTTATTTTGTGCTTTTAGCAGTTTAGCAGCTGAAGTTCAAGCCTCACCACGGTTCTCCACCATGCCCTTTGACTCGACGCACAGCCTGTGGTTCCTCTGGAATGCTGTTCAGTGGTTGATTGGAGATGTCGTCTATTTTTTAGTTTGACTCTATTTAAACAAGCTGATTAGCAGGAATGTCATCCAAGTTCTCATTCCTCAGATTAGTTCAGTGGAGCGTTAGGCCAGGATTTACACTGCTCATGCTGGTACGGTAACATGGGGCTGGTCATAAGACTCCTTAACTTCTTTAAAGTCGCCCATACAAATTTGACTGGGCTTTGATCATTCTGAGGGTGTACATGTTTAAGTAAGTGACTTTTAAGATCATTTCCCACAACCGTTCCTAGTGCCTCTATACTGAGGATGTGACGATGAAATTGTTGAAAATGTTGCTGTTTTTCCAACATTTTTTGTCTATTGAAGTTCATGCCTTTGATTGCATTGTCTTGAGTTTCAAAATGTTGAGTTGGATGCATTCTGAAACAAGATCATCAACTGTGAAGCCACAGATGAGTCGACACACATATGTTAGTGCTGGGAGGATATATTTAAGCAAGGTGAGAGAAATAAGGCATGGCAAATTATCTTGCATTTGACTTAACTTTCAAACTTTGACAAATTAATTTTTTTTAAGCATAAACAAGTTGATAATGCAGCAGGAGAATCTGAACTTGAATCTGATATTGAAACTAGCATTTAATTGCTCCTAACATTTATTTTATATTTTGTTATGTAATACAATATAATACATACATCTTAAGTGACTTAAAATAATTTTTGTTATATATGTGGCCAGATGCCTTAGATTAGTCTTACAAATTAGTCATCTATTTCTGGCCAACTATAGTCTGGCCAACGTCAGACATAAATATAGTGGCCCTGCTTTAACCCTGTAAATCCTACTGTATCATATTTAATACACACATTTCTAAGGCCTCTAACTGATCAACATCATGAAAACTTCACTGAAAAGCCTGATGTGCACAATCTATGACATGCCTTCTGACATCTGATAGTTTATACAAGTAAAAGGCCTTTTTTTTTATATCATTCTAAAAACATCCCCGTCGGCTGTGATTCTT